ATGGTATCACCCCATTTTGTTAAAAGCAGCGACGATGAAGGATTAGTTATGTGCTGGTGGGTAATTCCATTAATCAGCCACCAACGAGTGCCCCTCATACCCTCAGATTTTTTTTATTTTTTAACTGTGACTTGACAAAGACCTAAGAAGTCCAAAAATCAATACTTTTTTTTCTTACTCTCCACCTTTTTCTTAAAGAACGTGCAAAATTTACCATGCAGAGTTAACTTTGAAAAATTGTAGTTCTTCTCCTAATCAAGTGATCGTTATCAAGCAAACTGCTAATTGTTAATAAGTCTTGTCTCTTTAAACTAACGTAAAAAAAATTAGATATCGATACCGTTACGGGTCTCTGCCAATTATTTTAAAAATTCAATTTTTTTGTAAATAACGTAACTTTATATATTCATATATTCTTAGGGCTACTGACAAACAATTTTTTTTTTAATGTATTTTGTTAACCAAGACCTTACTCTATATAAACGCAATAAAGCATTCCAAAATAATATCGGCTTACTGTTAAAAAAAATATATATTGAAATTCATGTTTCTCAAAATATACTCTTTTTAGCCATTTCAGGAGTCAAGAAGGCCATGTTTGAGTGAGTCGATTTGAACCTACTTAGGGTAGTTATCACAGGCGCTTATTGGTCTCCAACAATCATAAATTAAATTGTTGTGTATTTTTCTTTTAGCTGTCCTGTGAACGCGGATGTCTCCCCTGACTAAACCTATATAGAAATTGTATACTTCGGGAAAGGGTAAAACATGTCTGATAAAAATTGGTATTAATACTTGAATAAGGTGACAAAATATAAATTAAACAACTAACACACACTTTTCACAAATTTTGTAATATAGAAATAATTATAAACATAAACAACACCTAACACAACAAAACATTAACTGAATTTAATTGAACTAAAGAATATAATAATTCGGAACTTTTACTTTAATTTAAAAAAAAAAAAGAGAAAAACAAAATGTTTTTTATTTACTAATTTTAAAATGAAGAAACTTAGCTGACTCGGAAATTTTTCTGATTTCTATAATGTTATTATCAAGAGGAATAAAGGAATGAAATGTTCGGGTATTTTTTATGTTAATGCAGATTGAAACCTTCTTTGACAGAACGGTTTTCCTGAATTAATTTCTTCTTGGATGACGAGAGAAAATATTATAGCCTTGATGATCAAAAAGGCTGATCATGTATTGCTCCATTTCGCTTCGTTCTGCAATGACATAGCTGCCATTATTTTCCATTATAACAGAAGGATTTTCTTTATTACAAAGTAAACTAGTGATATGTCACTATGTACGAAGATCCTTACCATATGGTAAAGACGTTCGGTTATTCCATACCCAACTAGCGAGAGCAACTGGACTCCCATCCGAACATCAATTTCAGAACACATAAAAACCTATGTACTATTTTTTTTTCTCTTTCCTTTAAGATTAAAGTAAAAGTTCAAAATTTTTTCTCTCGTTCAATTAAATTCAGTCAAGAATTCAGCTTATGTTTTGTTGTGCATGTTGTGATACGTGTTGTTTATGTTTATAATAATTTTTATGTTACAAAATTTGTGAAAAGTGTGTCTTAGTTCTTCAATTTATATTTTGTCCCCTTATTCAAGTATTAATACCGAATTTTTTTAGGTTTAGTCAGGGGAGACATATGCGTTCACTGGACAACTAAAACAAAAATACACAACAATTTTATTTGTGATTATAAGAGAACAATAAGCGCCTGTGATGAGTACCCTAAGTAGGTTTAATTCGACTCACTCAAACATGGCCTTCTTGATTCCTGAAATGGCTAAAAATAGTATTTTTCAAGAAACATGAACTTCAAAAATATTTTTTTTTAACACCAAGCCGATATTCTTGTAAAATATTTTATTGCCTTTATGTATAATAAGGTCTTGGTTAACAAAATACATTAAAAAAAAAAATGTTTGCCAGTAGCTCTAAGAATATATGAATGTATGAAGTTACATTATTTACAAAAAAAAAAGAATATTTAAAATAATTGGCAAAGACCCTTAATAGTATCGGTATCTAAAATGTTTTACGTTGCTTTAAAGAGACAAGACTTGTTAACACTTAGCAGTTTGCTTGATGGCGATCACTTAATTAGAAGAAGATCTACAATTTTCTAAAGTTAGCTCTGCATGGTAAATTTTGCATGGTCTTCAAGAAATAGGTGGGGAGTAAGAAAAAAAAAGTATTGATTTTTGGACTTCTTAGGTCTTTGTCAAGTCACAGTTAAAAAATAAAATAGAAATGAGGATATGAGGGGCACTCGTTGGTGGCTAATTGATGGAATTACCCTGGTGTGAATCGAGCTGGCAGTCGATATCGATAATTTGTAAGTCTTCCATTCGCCGCTTCCTTTAACTATTTCTTTGAATTTATTTGTTGTTTTGCTTATGCAGAGTAACTAGTTATTATCGTAGTTTGTTTTAAATCGGAAAATATTATCGTAAATCAAAGATTTCATTTTCAAATCAGTTTATTTTTGGGATTTTGGGTTGAATAATATCGATAATAATTCAAAGTACATAAGTTAAATCAAGAGCGCGAGCAAATTAAAGCATGTTTGCGTAGATTTGTTGGGTTTCTTAATAATTTCACGGTAGATAAAATCGAGAATTTAGAATTACGGTTAAAAAAAAATCGAAGATTCACTTTTAAGAGATTTTAATGCAGTTCAAAAAGCTTTGGAGAAGGCTGATCGTAACGGATGGCAAAGTTCTGAACCTGATGATTTTGAGGATTTGTATTATGACGTCACGGGGACCGCGCTTCGAATTATTCGGAAATTTTATGATAGCAAGCTTGATGCAAAGTCGGCTCCCACTATAAATCAAAACATGATTCAATCTATTAATCAATCAAATGGCACTGCTAATTCAGCTGCGGCTGGTGGTAGTAAAGGCCTGCCAACTATCGAGTTAATTAAATTTTATGGCGAATATGAAAAATGGACACAATTTCGCGACCTTTTTAAAACTTAGTTCATGAAGATAAAAGTATTGGCAAGGTACGAAAAATGTATTACCTCTTGAGCTCTTTAAAAGGTGATGCCGCTAAAGTATTAAAATCAATCGAGATAACACAGGGAAATTATGACTTAGCATGGAGTTTGCTTACCGGAAGATATGAGAACAAAGCGCTAACGATAAAAAAAAACATGTCAGAGCCTTATTTGAGCTTCCAACTGTTTCTAAAACATACAGGCTTAGGCAATTTTTAGACGAATTTCAAAAACGGTTCAGGGCTACCAAACTGTTAGGAGAACCAGTTGATTCGTGATCAACTCTGTTAATTTATATTATAACAACTAAATTAGATTATCGTACTATAGCGCAGTTGGAAGAATTCTCGATCAATAAAAAATCAAAAACGGTAGAACCTAATGACTTGTTGGATTTTCTATCGGATAGGTGTAAATGTTTAGAAACAACGAAAAATAATTTTGCTAAAAATCAAGATAAAGTTGATTTGTCGCGAAGTGCTACTGGTCATCGTGATAAACAAAAAAATCAATCGTTTACCACTCAGACCGGAAAATATGTTCTAGAGTGTGCTTTTTGTAAGGGAAAACATAACATTTACCACTGTGAAAAATTCTTGGCCTTATCTATTCCATCTCGGTTTGAAAAATTTAGGAAACTCAGGCATTGTCTAAATTGCTTTCTTTCTAACCCCTCATTGGGGGATTGTATTGCTCAAGGTTGTAAAATATGCTCAAAAAAGCATAATACATTACTCCATGAAAACCAAGATAATCGACCAAGTCAAGACTCAAAAAAGAATGAAATCGAAACCAAAGATAATACCGAGAAGTGTGAAGCTTCCAGTTTTGCGGTAAATTATAGTATCAATAATAATTGCGAAATTTTACTTTCCACTGTAATACTTCATATCAGGGACAATAATGGAAAATGGATTACATGCAGAGCACTACTTGATCGTGGATCGCAATCCAATCTCATAACGCTGAAACAAGCTAAAAGAATAGGATTAGAATTTTTTGGACTTCATGTACCAATAAAAGGAATCGGGGATACTTCTACAACATTGAAAAATCGAACTTTACCACAAATTAAATCATTTACCAATCTGCATAACGCGCAGGCGCATTTCTTAATTTTAGATAATATAACACAAAAATTGCCATCACAAACGTTCGATAAATCTTTATTGAAATTAACCGATAACATTGTATTAGCTGACAAAAATTGTAATATTTCCTCTGGTGTAGAATATGTATAGTTTGGTGTTACCATTTTTTATGAAACTCTTCTTCCCGAACAAAAATACCTGGGTCCAGGATTGCCCATATTACAGAGCACTTTTTGCGGTTAGGTTATTTCTGGGCTACTATACCGAATTATCAAAGGAACAAATGAATATCGAAAACCAATTTAAAAAAATTTGGGAACTTGAGGAGTTTCCTCCTAGGAAACTCTTAAGTAAGGAAGAGCAAGAATGTGAAACCATTTTCATTGAATGCCTAAAGCGCGACAGTGATGGGCGTTTTATTGTAAAATTACCAATAAATGAAATATTGGGCGACTCATCAGACCCTGCTATCAAAGGACTTTATGCTATGGAATGCAAATTTAAAAGAAATCCTGAATTTAAAGAGCAATATTTAACTTTTATGGATGAATACGAAAAGTTAGGTCATATGATTAAAATCAGTCCAGAAAATATTAATAATATTGAAAATGATTTGAGCACAAATTTCAAACCTATCTTCTATTTTCTACTACCAGTGGTAAAAAAAATTCTATATATTCCTTGGTAGAGAAAGTCTTTATATACCTTACGCATTATAATGACCAACTTCTCTACCTAGGTATATAATGTACTATTATATGTCATCAAAAATTATTACTCATGTATCTGATAAAAAAAAAAACAAGAACATAATTTAGTAGAAATTATTATTATTAAGTAGCACCAGTCTTACATTCCAATAAATTAGGCTCTAGGTACGTATTTACACTTGAGTAAACATAGTAAAAAAAAACGCAACCAAAGAATTTTTAAGATATATTTTTATTCATAATGCGCTCTGTTTAAATTATTAATCAATTTAACAATCTGACTCCTGTCGATCTTTTCTGAGGGCCTTTCATAAATCACACTTTCTTTGTTAAACGTCAAAGATTCTTTAGCTAGGGCACTTGCAATGTAGGGATTGTTATAGAAATTTTCGGATTTTTTTAATTCATGTGGAACGGAAGATTCTTCAACGGAAGTAGCCAAGACTGTGGGGTGAGCATAAACTTGCCTTGAAAAAAAAAAGATAGATACAAGAAACTGATTGACAATAACTCACTTACCTTTGTGGTTGTGTGCGAAAGCTAGAAAAATACTGCGGATGGACAATTCCAAATGACGGAATTGAATGTGATTGTGGATGAACTACTTCGTGATGACTTATTAGATTATAATTCGAAATAAGTTGGCCAGCTTTCACCAAAGATAAAGATAATATGGTAACGATAGTACACCCCAAAAATGATTTCATGATTATCTGAAAAAAAAAAACAAAACCATTAAAATTGAAGTAGGTACTTTTTAAACATTTATTTACGACTAATGTATAATGTGCGTATTATATTTGTGATTTTGGCAGTATAATGACATATGTTATTCCTCCAGGGATTAATGACGAGTAGCGGGATTAATGGTCATTATTCCACAAAAGTGTCAGTGTCAAACGTGTAGTGCTTGTGGATTTGTATTGAAAATTATGAGACGGATGAAATTTGTTCATTGAAAATCTCAAATAAATTAATTTGTCGTAAATAAAGTAGAGTATACTACTTGCAATAATGGCTATTATTCCCTTGGAATGTTACTCCCTCGCCGCTAACGCGGCTCAGTTCGTAATATTCCTCGGGAATAATAGCTATCATTATTGACTCGTGGTATAATCTACTATTAAATTTAATCTCCGAACATATAAATATTATACTTTGGCGTAATGAACTGACAGTTCACCTACTACCCCCACCAACTAAATAATAGAAGTGTATTGTGCTTCACAAACCTATAGTATTTTTATTCAGGTTGGTTTTTTGGAAAAAGGTTGGATTTAGGTCAAAAATAAACGGCGTTGAAGAAGATAGTGTGTATTTGCCGACGTTTCGGCCTAAATTAGGCCATCCTCAGGGCACTAAAAACAGGATATTCATGAGTCTAACATCATGGATTATTACATAGCGAACAGTGTAATTGTAAAGTAGTAAAACTGTGTTAATACAACAATGATACATTAAAAAATTTAAAAATTGAACAGGAATTTTATATAAATTTACTCAGTTATCCTTATGCTTTGATGGCGAGCAATTTCCCACGAATTAAAAATGAAAAAATGATTGTTGGGTTACGTAAATAACATTAACAATTAAAAATCAAATAAATAAATAACATATAAATAACATAAAACAAGGTAAATTGGATTACAACAGGTATTACTTACATCCAAGTTACTTCTCCAGTGTAATTAAATAGAATATTATATACATAAGGAACATAATGTTGCTTGACTTCGTTCTTTGGTTTAGCTTTGTTAACAAATAGGAAACAGGACATTAATATAAGACAGTTACAAACACAAATAAAATTTAAAATCTTTGGTAGGTACTGGCTTTATTATTTCTAACGTTACACTAAACCATTTGTTTCTTATATGGGTCTTGGTTAGTATCGTATCAATAAGGAACAAAAAAAAAAGGGGGGTTTTGGTATTTAGCACAATCGCAAACACAACCATTAAAAGAAAAACATTGCATTATGATGGATTTTGGATGGACTTTAAAATGTTATTATATGTGATGCTTAATTTTTCAACGTCCTGTCTTTTATTAATGTTATTAGGATGCTTTTTAATCTCTATCATTTCTCCGACAAGTCTTTTTTTATAGTTGTTATGTTTTCCTAAAATAGCTACGTTATTAAAATCGAAGTTATGAAGTCTCTCTTCAAAATGCTCAGCTAATGCTGTTTTGTTTTTTGTTTTGATGAGGTTGGACGGTCTTGCGCTACGTTGGTGCTCTGATATTCGTGTTTTTAAATATCTTCCTGTTTGTCCTATGTACACTCCATTGCACTCGTTACATGGTATTTTATATATTATATTGCTTTCCAAGTTTTTTGGAGTTTCTGTTTTTTGTTTAGAAAATAATTTTTCGATTTTATTTTCATTCTTGAAGGCAACTTTAATGGTATCGTTGTTGAGTTGTCTAGCTATTATTTCTGATAGATCTTGTACATAAGGAATTTTAAAATATCTTGTTTGGTCGTTTTTTGGTATATGTGTCTTATTATTGTGTAGGGAGCGACAAAATAGAAGTTTATTAACCAATTTATTAGGATAGTTATTTTTGGTTAGATATGCTTTTATGTTATTTAAATTCTTTTGATGAAAATCTGGATGTGAGAGTCGTACTGCTCTATCCTTCAAGTTATTGATAATGTTAATTTTTTGTTTAAAAGAGTGTTCCGATCGAAAATTAAGGAATCTTTCAGAGAAGGTAGGCTTATGATACCAGTCGGTTTTAATTTTGTTATCATCGGTTCTTATTAATAAGAGATCTAGAAATGAAATGGAGTTGTTACTTTCTTCTTCTATTGTAAATTGCAACCTTGGGTGGAAGCTATTGAAAACATCCAGAATGGTCGGAATTTTATCGATGGGAACACACGTGACTATGTCGTCTACATATCTTTTAAAAAACGATAACTGGAAATCTAATTTATCAATGCATTGTGTCTATAGTTCCGACATAACCACGTCTGAGCAGCTTGGGGACAAACAATTCCCCATGCCCAGACCAAAAATCTGCTTATAGGAGGTACTCTCAAAGCAAAAATAACTGTTGTCAAAGCAGAACTGTAGAAGACTCACAAACGCATCAAGTGTTAGTTTGCAATGATCCCTAATCATAAACCACCTTTCTTTTAAAAGATCTATAGTTAGATCCGTTGGTATATTAGTGAATAAAGACTTAACGTCCAGTGATATTAAAATGTGATTTTCTGGAATTTGAAAATCTATTTTATCTAAAAGTATTTTTATTCTATTATCAGTCTACAGTTTGTATTTTAGTTGGTCAAATTCTCGGTCAAATTTTATTGATTAAAATAATAACATAGCAGTAGGCATGAAAAAAAAAAGAAAATAGGATTTTGATCTACCAAATTCAAAAAATTAAAATCTACTTATATAGCAACTAAACCTTACAATGGAAAGTTTATTGTCATCATATCAGCGTTGCCAGTAACGAAGTACTATAGCTTTTTACTGCAATTATCACCTCGTCTCAAGCTTGTTTGTTTTTTTTTTTTTTGAAACTTTCAGGACCCGAGTTATATTGAACGATTCCCATATCGACTAATGTTAAATTAGTCAATCAATCTATTGTTTTAAGAAGCATACCAATTGCTCGCCTACGATGACATCACAATTGTTGACGTTTTTATTGAATATTGCTAACTTGCATTTATTGTTTATAAAAAGCGGTGCAGCCATGCACAATTGTTCTTTTGCTTTCATGCTTTGCAGCAGCAACTAGTTCCACCAGTCTTCATATGTTACTTTACTTTTACTTTTAAATAAAATAAAGTTTTTAAAAAAGTAAAGTTTCTTATTTGAAACTTAATTGGCGCAGTCGTGCGGATAATTTTTTACAGTTTTTTTTCGTAAAAAAACGGATGTTCAGAGTGCACAAGTTTTTCCGAATTTCGAGATCGTGACCCGCGAATTACTAAAGACAATCGAACTGAATCTATAAGTGATAACTTGGATTACAGTGAAAATTGGATTGCAGTGAAACCTGGATTACAGTGATCATTGGAGTGAAATTTGAGGAAATTCCTGTCCACTTCACTTGGTGTTAACTGGACATAAGAAACATTGAGAACCAACGTGTAAATAGTGAGAGTGTTACTGTTATTAGCATCGAGCCTAGTAAGTAAACCTTTCCCTAATATTTTGTTATTGGTGTTTCATATTTAAGAGTTATTTTTGGATTTTTCTTGAATTCTTTTGCAAAAGGTTTTAACCTATTTTTTCAAGAAAATCTACTTTTTATTTTTTTGGATAAAACATTCTTTAATCCTATTATTTTAATTTTCAATTTTTAATTCTAAAATAAAACTTGTTTAATTAAAGTTTTCTTTTATGTCTGAATCTGAATCAGATACTGAAGAATATCTAAGTCAATTATATCAATTAAGACCTAATATTCAATCAACAAGACAAAACAGAAACATGGGTGAAAATTTGAAATCCATAGTTCAACTTTTGAAGCCTTTTGGTGGCGAAACTCAATATCTGGAGTATTTCATTAGTAATATTGATGAATTTTATCACACTTATTATGTAGGGGATCCTGCCCAAAAAGAATATGTAATAACTGCGATAAAATCAAAGCTTATCAATGATGCTGGAAATTTTTTGATGACACGTCCAGATTTAAAATCATGGATAGATATTAAAGGAGCTCTAAGAATTAAATATGGAGATCCTTATTCTCGTCAAAATTTGATTCAAGAATTAATGTATGCATCAAGAAACCAAAAGGAATCAATTTACGAATATTTAGAAAGATTGAAAGCTCTTAATCACCGAATTACTTCAAAAATAATGTGTGACAGTAATTTGTTAGCAGTTGCAAATATTCTTGTAGCTCAAAATGAAGTTACAGCAGTACAGAATTTGATAACAAATTCACCAGTTGAGCTTAGAACAATCTTAATGGTTCAGAATCCTATAACATTAGACGCAGCAACATCTTTTGTACTAAACTATCAGATGGCTGAGAATCATATGAAATTTAACAAAAATCAAAATAATTCCTTTTCGAATTTTAAGACAAAAAATAACCAAACATTTCAACACCAACAAAACAATACACAACAACAACAAAGACAACAAAACCCGTATTTCCATGTGAAGCCACAATTTCCTTCACAACCAATAAACTTACAGACAAAAGCAATAACCCATAAATTCCCTACTAGTTCGGGTACGTTTGGTAAAAATTACAACAAAACAAATGTTTTTAAACCAAACAGTAACCTTCCCTTAACAAAACCGACACCTATGTCTGGTGTATCTATTCAACCAAGAAGACAAGATTCCCAAATTAATGGACGAAATTTTTCAAGAGGTTTTCAACCCCAACAATCAAATTATTTTCGACCAGATCCCAATGCAGGTCCTTCAAAATACACCATTGAGGAAATAAATAATATATATGGAATTCAATTACAAGAACCAGACGAAACTTCTGAGAACTATGAAAGTTCAGAATTCGGAGAAATACCCGAAAACTCAGAAATAAATGATGATCAAATAACTCAAGATTACCAAGAAAGCCCTGATGAAAATTTTCAGACACTAGCCTTGGAATCGAACAATCAGCATTGACTTTAAATGCATACCAAGTCAATCAACTACCTTTTATTGAAACTTTCGATCCACCTTGTAAGCTTTTAATAGACACAGGTAGTTATGCTTCATTA